CCCCCAGGGGTAGACAACCCCTGAGAAAACAGTGGGAGAAGTGTGTCTGTTTTGGATTTGTTTCTTAACAACTCAGTTGGGCCAAGATTTTCACATGTGATTAGTACCTAATTTAGGTACCTAAACGGGGATAGGTGATCAGCACTTTCTAAAAAGTCAGGCACAAAAAAATGAGATACTGTACTCAAAATCACCACTGACAATCTTGACTTGGGACTGCGTGAATCCTACAAAAAATTCTTCAGACAGCATTTGCTCAAATTAAAAAATGCTTCAGCTGTAGCTGTTTCCACCTCTAGCATTTGCTTTGCATGAACATTTGAATGATTTATTTACTTGCATTAAAACTTGCTGAAAACAGAATCTTAAGTTTTCATTCTTTAGTATACACACAAGTAGTTTTTTTTTTTAAATGGAATATGAAACTTGACAGAACCTCAGAACTCTAGCACAGAACCTACTAAATGGTTTAGACAATCTGACAGTATACTTGGCAACTAGGATTATGCACACATACATACAATTAAATTAATTTATCACAGTCACAAAGTAACAGACAGAAAATAAACCTTAGCCCCTAGTTTAAAAATATTTTCTTTAACAATGAAGCCTTAGCCTGGGCAGCCCAGAAAGGAAAAGGTTTAAGATTTGTAAAATGCTTATACTTCTTAAGTATTAATTCTGCTTGAGAATTCCAGAGGGGTAATCTGAAGGTCGTCTTTGAGTATAGAAAATTCCTCATATTTCAGAAAAGAGACAGAAGCAATATCATGTGATTTTTTTGACCAAATCACAACCAATCAACACAGCCTGATTTTAGACTAATGCATCATACTGTGCATAATAAATCCATAGAGGTAAGAGTTAACAATTCATAAAGTATATACTAATGATGAATAAATAGGGAAGTTGGGATCTGCTCACAGACGTTCCACCAATAGAAAGGAGGCTACACTGAGTTAGGTGTTCAGTGATAACACTCTTTTAAACTAGTTTTATATACAATTGTGATTATGAGGTGTTAATGTGTCCTGGCAGAGCTATCACTGATAGCAATGAGCTCTCAGGCATTTTACTGTACTATGTATTGCTCATCACATGATACATATTTTATATTTATAAGGGCTTTCCTGTTATGCCCTTTCTGAAATTAAGTGCCCTTAATTTGTGATATCAAGTACCATGAACCACAAATGAGCAAAGTTACAGCCCTTTAGAATATGTACTCTGATACAGGATTTTTTTTCTTTGTTCTGCATACATTAAAGCCATGTGCACTTACAGAAGTAGATAGTCTGAACTGACCTACAAATCCATATTTCTGATATGTTTTCTACCTTAAATTCACATATTATATTCACTGACAACTAGTGTTAATAAATTAAAATAATCTGTAAATAAGTGGATTCAAAAAGGAATTTCTTCAAAAATATTCCATTACATGATATGATTTTAGATAAATTTGACATTATTCCCTTGAACGAGACTAAAAAAGCTTAAGGTACCTCTGAACTATATATTTAAAAGAATGGTGGTGCTTTTAATGTCAAATTATCCCTCAATTAGGAGATAAATTCCTTTGTCTATTGAACTGAAAAAAAGACAGTCATCTGGATAAATTAAATTTCCAGGGGTAGGGGGAAAAGAAGGGCAAGAATCAATTATACTTGTTTAGGGTACTGAAGGCATTGTAAGATTAAGTTATTTGAGACCATCTGACGACACTGTTTTGGGTACACACACCCAGGTAAAAGTGCAGTCAGTGAAGTGAATCAGAATCCAACAATGTGGTTTGTGAGCGGTCCCCCTCACCCCACTAGGTGCTGTGAAGGCCATGCAGCATAAACTTTTGCAGTCTGCACATTCTCTACATTTTACAGTCAGTGGTGCAACATGGGTAAATTGAAATGAATCTGTGTAGTTCTTTTTCGGCAAATACAGTGGGATATATGCCTTGTTTTGTACAGGATACATTTTAAATAACAATAATTTTTAATTGAGTTATTGTATTTATGGATTTATTAAGATTACCAGTAA